GAGATATGGGGTGGGAATTGGAGATCAAACCACCCGGGCCACAGTTTCAAAGCATTCCAGTCATTTCCACCGCTGCCAAAGAACCCCACAAACACAACCACTTATCGGGAACCATTTCGCGTTGTATTTACCGAGAACGACCTTCGGGAAAGCTTTACAAAATATGAAAGCAGAAGTAGTGGCGACACGTAACTTGCAGCGGCGCGTGGACCGCGGCGCGCGCGTTCTACCCACGCACGGCGAGAGGTGGAGGGACGGCGGCCGGCCGGCCCCGCTCAGACCAGTATCACAGGTGTGAGGGTGCGCCGCCCGATCGCCCGAACCGGCCAACCGAGACGGGGCTGCGACGTGGCCGCTGACGGCACCCGGCGACCCAAGCACCTTTGTACCGGACACATGATTATCGGACCAAGCAAACTGCGCCCCCAGCCGGGCCTATCAAGCACACTATGTACACACTGGCTCAGGCGACTTACTACATACCTAAAACGAACACCGATGACCAAAAAGAATTTCACAAACACGAGGGCGAAACCGGTGGGCCGCCGCTCTCGCGAGCGGAGTGCATCGGACGCCCGCGGAGCGATATACAGAGGGGCGGCGAGCCGGGCCGGCGTCGGCTGGCGCGGCGGCGCCGGCAGCGGCCGACGGTCGCGGCGGCGCTAGTTGCCCGGCCAGGAGTAGCCGTAGCTGGGCTTGCCAGTCGGCTTTCCCGGCGGGCCGCCGCGCGTCGGGCCGCCCAGCGTCGACTCCTGGTGCGCGGCGTGCACGAGCGGCGAGTGCGCCTGTGCCGGCATCGGCTGCAGGAACAGGTGCTGGCCGTACGCACCGCTCTGACCCTGGCCGGCCATCTGGAACGGCGGCGGCGTGCCCGTGTGGTAGGCCTTGTTGTCGAACTTGCCGCCCAGCTGCGCCTTGCCGTACCCGGAGCCAAGGTCGGCGCCGCCGCCGGCCGCCTTGTGCGGCGAGGCGCCACCGAAGCCGCCCGCCTTGAAGTCGCCGGCCGAGCCGCCCAGACCGTCGTAAGTGCCGCCGAACGCGGAGCCGGCGCCGAAGCCGGCCAGCTTCTGGTACTGGCCGCCGCCCGAGGAGGCCGGCGCCGCCGTCGCCGGCGGCACGGGCGTGTAGATGCCGTACTGCGGCATGAATGGGAAATACGTGTAGTTGGGCGGGATCGCGGCCGGGTTGAAGAACTGCTGCTGCTGTTGCTGTTGCTGTTGCTGCTGTTGTTGCTGTTGCTGCTGCTGTTGGTGGTGGTGGTGTTGCTGCTGCTGCTGATGCGACTGGAAGCAAAGGCATATGATTATTCGCTTTGAACAGGCGTCGCTGAGTACGTTCGGAAGCAAGTGCGTACACACACGGCAGCAACGGCAAACTGACACGTCGTGACACCACGACACCGAAGAATGGATTGCATACGGATCCAAGGACCGGAGACCAATGCATTCTGATCAGCATTAGCGCGCGTGCGCACGGCGCCAATGCGACTCGTCCAGCTGGCGGAACACAAGTGCGATTGTTTGCAACAATAGCGCTTCCCACACGTATTTACGAAGAGGAGCTTTGCAGTGCAGATTCTTTTGCCTTTCCGACGCAAGACGTCCAAGCATGCGCCCAGCTGACAGACATACGACACGACGTCATGAGCGCCGCGTGGTCGAGCGGACCCGCACCATGACCACAGACATCGCGGGGCGCACTGGCTGCAGAGTGCACGCGTCCATTGTCGGCGCCCGAGCCTCGGCGCCGCGCGGACCGCGCGCGCCACCACAAACAGGAATGGGGACTGGGTGGTCCGGGTTCCACGAAAGACCCCGGCACCCAGAGTAGCTCCACCGTTGCAGGCACCGGTGTAGTCAGGGTCCATGGGATACGTTGTTTGTTTGAGACGTGTTTGTGCCAACGACAAACAAAAGACGTCGTTCCGACCTCACTTCGAACAGCCCGTCCGCGGGCCACGGCGGCTAGCGAAAAGAAAATCACGTTGCCCGCGCACTCCTCGGGGCACGCACCTTCAGCTGCTGACTGAGCGCCGACTGGACGGGGGACGAGTTGTCGTGCCGGCCAAACTTGTTATCGTTCAGGGAGTAGGAGCCGCTGGAGCCGAGCGAGGACGGCAGGTCCGCCCGACCCTGGCCCGCCGCTGCCTGCTGCTGCTGCACACACACACCCATCCGCGTCACGCAGTGACGTCACACGAGTCACGGTGGGGTCACGTCCGCGTGGGGCGCGGAGTCGAAGCGACGTGGCAATCCCACAAAGAAACGCCTTACGATAATGTGGGACGTTGCAACGCGAGGGTGAGCCGATTGTGCGCGCGGCAGGCGCCCCTGAATCACGGAGATCTCGGGACGTCACCAACCAACGACCACTTCAAAAATAACACACAGAAACGAACATACAAGCGGCGTTCTACAACAGAGGACCGGGCGGCGGCAGTCCACAGCAGGGCACAGCCGGCAGCCGCCGATGTCCGGCGCTCACCATGTGCGGTAGCCGCTGCTGGAGAGCGTGCAACTCCTCGTAGTTGTAGATGGGCTGCATGCACTGTTAGAAGGCCGGCATGCCCGCCGTCTGGCCCAGGAAGTACTGCATGGGCAATGCCGGCGGGACGGCCGGCACGCCGCCCGGCCGAGCTGCGCAGGGCCGCCGGCCGTCAGCACCAGGCACGGGGAGAGGAGCGCGCGGCACCGCCGTCCGGCGACACGGCCGGGCAGGGAGCGGCGCGGACCACGGCAGAGTCGTCGGCAGGTAGACGGGCAGGGGAGGGGTCGGACCACGGCAGAGTCGTCCGGGTAGACGGGCAGGGGAGAGGCCGGACCACGGCAGAATCGTCCGCAGGAAGACGGGCAGGGGAGGGGCGCGGACCATGGCAGAGTCGTCGGCAGGCAGACGGGCAGGGGAGGGGCGCGGAACAGGGCAGAGTCGTCTGCAGGTAGACGGCAGGGGAGGGGCGCGGAACAAGGCAGAGTCGTCCGCAGGCAGACGGGCAGGGAGGGGCGCGGAACAGTGCAGAATCGTCCGCAGGTAGACGGGCACGGGAGGGGCGCGGAACAGGGCAGAGTCGTCCGCAGGCAGACGGGCAGGGGAGGGGTGCGGAACAGGGCAGAGTCGTCCGCAGGCAGACGGGCAGGGGAGAGGCGCGGACCACGGCAGAGTCGTCCGCAGGCAGACGGGCAGGGAGGGGCGCGGAACAGGGCAGAGTCGTCCGCAGGCAGACAGGCAGGGGAGTGGCGCGGAACAAGGCAGAGTCGTCCGCAGGCAGACGGGCAGGGGAGGGGCGCGGAACACGGCGGAGTCGTCTGCAGGTAGACGGGCAGGGGAGAGGGCGCGGACACGGCAGAGTCGTCCGCAGGCAGACGGGCAGAGGAGGGGCGCGGAACACGGCGGAGTCGTCTGCAGGTAGACGGGCAGGGAGGGGCGCGGAACAGGCAGAGTCGTCCGCAGGCAGACGGGCAGAGGAGGGGCGCGGAACACGCGGAGTCGTCTGCAGGTAGACGGGCAAGGGAGGGGCGCGGAACAAGGCAGAGTCGTCCGCAGGCAGACGGGCAGGGGAGGGGCGCGGGACAGGGCAGAGTCGTCCGCAGGGACGGGCAGGGGAGGGGCGCGGAACACGGCGGAGTCGTCTGCAGGTAGACGGGCAAGGGAGGGGCGCGGAACAAGGCAGAGTCGTCCGCAGGCAGACGGGCAGGCGGCAGAGGAGAGGATCGACGCGGCAACAGCCGTCAGATCGACCGACGGAACAACACCAGACTGGGCCGTTCATTCGCCGGTGCAGGACAGACGATAAACGAGGGGAATTTCAAAGAGACGTCATCGACTGACAGGACTAGGCACAGGGCAGATAAGGTAACATCTCCAAGCAATGCCCAGATGACGACAGGCGGGAACAACTCACGGCGCACACGAGCTGAACATGAATTGCACCATATAGGTGGATACCAACGCACCGAGAAGCCACGTAAGGTTTTGAGTGCCTTAGCAAGGAACATTACGCACACAGATGAGAGTGCCAATAGTCTCATTCCTCGTAGAATACCCAAGAAAATGGAGAGATAGATGTGATATTTCGAAGACATGCCTTTATTGAAACGAATATCAGCACTGATACTGCTGCAGCACAGCACTGATGCTTATTCGATAAAGGCATGCAACCGAAATATCACATCTCTCTATTCTCCTGGTCATTCTACGAGGAATGCTGCTATTAATACAGTCCCATCTACACGAGAAGTCCGTGTTGAGAGGGCTGATGGCAGCGGTTCTCCCCAGCGAGGCACAATGACACCGGCTCCGACACAGCTTGAGACTGCACACGACACGTCACATAACACCCCCCCCCCCCCACGCACACACGGAGACGCGATCGTGTTCGCGTGACCCCTCTGCAGGTGCCGAGAGCGGTCACGCCGCAGTGCCCTCCACAGGGCAGCGGACGGGACGTACTGGTAGCCGTGTGAGGAGCACGCCCGCCGCTGGAGGAGCCGCCCAGGCCGGCCGGCGACGCTGACGCCGTCGACGAGACGGCCGACGTCAGCGCCGATCCGCCGCTCGACGCCGGCTCGTACTGCGGACAGGCGGCGCGGCGTCACGGCGGCAGGGAGAGCGAGAGCGCACCGGTCCCCTCCGGCACACGGCCGCCGGCAGCGACCTCACCGCCGGGCGAGGCATCTCGCGACCGTCACAGAGGGTGGCGGACAATCGTGACGCTCCACACAGGCTTGGCGTGTCATCCCTGGCGCTGAACAACAGGGACATGTCCACGCAGCGACCGGCTGGTCATGCGCACGGTACGTCACAGCGGCGCGGTGCGTCACGGTCGCCGTACGCACTGGCTCGTCTTGGCTGGCGCGCCGAGCCGCTCGGGCAGCAGCGTGCCGTTGCTGTAGGCGGTGTGGCCGCCGAGCGCGCCACCGGCCGAGAAGCCGGCGGCGCCGCCCTCGGCCGAGCCGTAGCCGGCGGCGGCGGGCGCCGGCGTCGTCTGACTGAAGCCGGCCGGCGCCGAGCCCGCCGACGTCGGCAGCTGGGCGAAGGAGGCGCTGGCCGGCTCCGGCGCCGCCGCCGAGCCCAGGTACATGCCCGGCGCGCCGCTGGAGGAGGAGAGGAGGCGGTCGCGCCGCCGCCGCCCGCCGGCGCCAGAGAACGACGCCGAGGCTGTGTCCCGCGAGTCCTGCCCGTGCGGAGGCTGGCGTCAGGCGCTGGCTCGGATCACGGACCGTCCGACAGCAGCAGCCGCCGCGGCGGGAGCACGACTGACTCCAGCAGGCCGAGGTAAACTCGGAGCAGCGGGTGCCAGGACGCAATTCAGTACTTTAATCACTCATCCAAAATTAGCACCAGGCCGAAACTCCACATGGCCCCTGCACTCCGTCCACGTGATGCGAACAGCGTAACTAGTTTAAGTTACAAAGCCACTCGCAACGAGCATACTCCCCCCAACACACTTCGTTCCAATGGAGTGCACAGCTGACGGCGCTCAACACATGAATCATAACCATATGTCGCAGGCCACGGTGGCAGCACAGTTCATCCGAAAACACGGTGGGCTCAGCGTGGCAAGCTGTGCGGGCCATCTCGGAGCGAGTGTTTCTGGCGCCGTCCGACGTCCGCAGTTCGCGCGCCGCCCGCGCCTGCCGCCGCCGTCGCTCCGGACCGGCGCGCGCGGCGCCCGCTTACCTGGCCGGCTCGGCGGCCGACACCAGCTGACCCAGCGCCGGACTGCGCTCGCGCGCGGCGAACGTGGCGCCGGCGTCGGCGTCGGCGCTGGGGAAGGCGGCCGGGTCGGCGGCGGCCGTGCCGAAGTCCAGACCGCCGAACTTGACGTCCAGCGAGGAGACGGCGTCGCGGGCATCTCCACCGCCATGTCCGGGATCTGGCAGCCCAGAGCACGGCTCTCAGCGGGCCCGACCGGGCCCCCCACGAGGCACGTGAGTGGGCCGAGG